AATTCTACTGTTGGAGGTGTTGTGTTAAAAATTGAGTTAGATGATGTGAGAACTCATTTTGGATTGGAGGAAAAATTGTTGAAAGTGGAAGATCACGGCTTTGATTTAAATGATTTTTGGAGTGAAATTAGACACGAAACCGCACAAGTCGAGACGTGTACTAATGGCTATAAGGTTATGTTGAAGCACGAATATGGAATGCTACTTGATATAGTGCATAAAACTATTGAGTGCAAATATTCTAGTAGGAATTATTTTACTAAGAAAAATTTGCCCTTGATGCATGCCATTGTGAATGTTGTTGCCGTAGATTGGGGACGGTTTATATATGGCCGAATGGTTGATCAAATTGGGCTAGCAAAACCATTAGTGAATGGATGGTTTCCTAATGATATTGGGTACGGTTTTGTTGTTGGGGAATTGTTGAAGTTGAAAGGTGTTGCCCTATCCAAGCCAAAACCAATACAAAACCAAAATTACCTTTTTCGAACCCCAATCACGGTTGATCCTTCCCTAGCCAATATCCGAAAACGAAAACCGGCAAATGCATCAACCCATTCCTTAGCCAAAAAGCCTCCTTCTAACCGAGCTACTAGTCATGGGGAATCCAATACCCATGGGAGAAGTAGTGATGATGCTTGTAGCCACCAAATTGTCACCATACCCGCAACCGCAACCCACACCCCAAACCCGAATGAAGAGGTGGTTTTACCAAGTAAAGTTGGGAGTGTAGATGACATTCCAACTTATGGGGCAAGTAGTGAGTTGATGAAAGAGTATGAACGTGTGAGAGTTTGGAGAAATTGGAGGTTAAGTGATCACAAATCGGTTGCTACAACAATAGGACCGGATACTCTAGAGTTGGAGGAGTTTTCTTTACAATGGATTGGAACAAGAAATCTTGCTACCGCGACTAGGCTTTCGGTGATTAATGAGTGCTTTATTAAGAAAGTTGCTATTAGTCGGGGCAAGGAAGTGGCTCAAGAGGTTCACGAAAATGCCGTTGAGACAATAGATGGATTTGCTCGTGATGATATTACCCGAGCATTGGTCATTTCAAGAGAAGAAGTGCACGGCACACATGGGGAAGCATCACATTTAAAGGAGACCGAAGGTGGAAGCTTGCAAGAATTAGACCCATTTCCTTCGAATATAGGGGATAACAACCTTAGTTTTGATGCTATTTCACCCCACACGGCTACGGATGTGACGAATTCGGTGAATGAAAATTTGGAAGCAAATGTTGATGATGAAAGCCGAATGAAGGAACAAGAAAATGTGCTACAAATTGAAGTGTCACTAAGCCGTGCCGAACCAATTGCCACTGCCGAACCACTCATTCATACAATTGATGAGCCCTTGTGTCTTGAGGATGCACCATACGTGGAACCACCGGAATCATCCATGCCGAGACAACCACAAGAAGAGTCACACAAGGAGGTACATTCCTCATCCATTAATATTGATACTTTGAAAGAAAATATTATTGGGGATGTACGAAAGGAAATTCAAGAGTTGAGAAGAGATGTCCTTCAAGAGTTTGAGAAAGTCCAAAATCAATTTGGTAATGTTGATACCAAATTAGATGACTTTCACAAGGAAGCTTATGAAAGGGCCGAATCCTTGTTACTTGGACAAGGATCAATCCAAGGTGATATGGCCACAATGTTTACTAAGCAAGAAGAGCGTAATAGGGAAGTCTTGAAGATGTTCCTTGACTTAGGGAAGAAAGGAACGGAGTGTGAATCGAGGCTACGATTAGTGGAGAATCAATTGAAAGCTCTACTACATCAAGTTGGCGTGAACAATGATCTTTTAATTGGAGTCCAAAAGAGCCAAGACAAAGCTTCGGCGAGTTTCCAACATTATGTGGATGCTGCCGAAAAGGGGGAAAGAGCTAGAGGAGCTCCAAGTCATTTGGTGAACCATTTGATTGGACCGTCGGCACAACGGCCACTAGTTGAGCTTGTTAGACCTCCAGGAGCACCAAGAGGAGTAACACCCACACCGAGAGCTCAAGGCCGAGGAAAAAGGAGAATAATGGATTATTTGATGACCCCTCAAAGCATGGACTTTCCTAGCCAACAAGAATGCCAAAGATCATCACCTTCAAGATCAATTTATGATGAGAACAAAATGAAGCTTATACGAGAGTTGGAGACATTCTTTGGGCACACAAGCAACGAAATGGTGGATGGAAGATCATTTGAAGAATGCGTTGCTTGGTACCAAGCCGGAGTGTTACGGGGTGACAATGTTCAAGAAGCTTATGGAAATTATGTTACCGAGCAAGTCACCGCACCATACCAACTCGAAGGAAAGAAACGAGACTTCAAGGAATTAAGGGCACACGTGAATGCCTTAATTGGCAAGAGGTAAAATTTTGAAGCCTCAATTTTTGGTGTACATAATAGCTAGCTTGTTCGAATTATGCTTTTTGGAACATTATATAAATTGCTAGCATTTGGTTTATTTCTTTACTTTGTCTAGTATGTTAATTGCTTTAAAGTCTCAAGATTTTAAATTGGACTTAGTAATTGCATGTGAGGCGTATAATTGAGAAAATAAAATTGAAAGGGGGAAGAAAAATTAAAAGATAAAATTCAATACGCAACCCCGCGTTACAGTCTCAATATACGTTTAGGACCGTCCAAAATTAAAATCTCTAGGTCTTAAACGTGTTAAACCCGTCAAATGGCTAGTCGCAATAAAATTGGACAAAAATATTATTTTTCAAAAATTTTGACATAGCCAAATGACATGGGTATAACTTTCGGCATCATCAAAAAGGGGGAAATTGTTAGGAATATATTGTATAAGTTTTGATGAGCCAAATGTATTTTGTAGACCCCAATTTTATTTTATTTGAGTCAGTTCTGGTTCACCAAGTATAGTGCACCACTGCCATGAAGCCTGCATGAAGTCTACGAAAAAGCAGTTTGAAAGAAGAATAAATGAAAGCGGGATCATAGCTTAACAGATTTATGAAGCATCAAGTTACCAAAGGTTGAGATGGACGAGATGGTAGAAGACTTGTTGAAGTATGCCTAATGTGAGATGATCCACAGTTCGATTCTCACTAGAAGTAATTTTGGTGTAAAGATGAATTGCTATCGTGAAGTAGCAATATAAGGAGATGATGTCATCATGATAGTAATATCAGGTTATACTATCATAAAAGAACAATTTTTATCGTGATAGTTGAGAATTATCGGGTGATGACGTCACGACTATCGGGTAATGACATCACAATGTGATAAAGCTAGTGGAGAACACGTGGAGGAGATAAGTCAAAAGAATTTATGTCTTGGATTATATCAATTGGATACCCAGCTGAGATGGAAGAAGCTTTGTCAAGCAAAGCAAATGGTCCATAGTTCAATTCCCACCCAAAGTGATTTTATGAAATGGAACATGATATATATGGTCCATGATACAAGATGGAACATGATATATATGGTCCATGATACAAGGTGGAACGTGATAGCTAGAACATGATATATATGGTCCATGATACAAGGTGGAACGTGATAGCTAGAACATGATATATATGGTCCATGATAGCTAGCTCATGATATGAAATGGAACATGATATATATGGTCCATGATACAAGGTGGAACGTGATGTATAGTCCATGATACAAGGTGGAACATGATATACTATTGGGACATGACTTCATCAAAAGGAGCTATGACATCATGATAGAATTAGACAGAAACATTATTTTGAAGCTCTGTTTCTGCAGAAGAAGTCGAAGGAGAAGAAGAAGCTGATATACGAAGGAGATCTTTTTATTACTCAAGCAAGAATCAGCAGATAAATTATTTGATCAACTTGGCACAACAGATCAATAATTCAACAAAAGTCATGCCAGAGAAAATTCAAATTTGGAGGCTACCCATTCCAAAGAAAAGCTTTGTCAGATTAAAGGAGAGCAACGGCAAGATTTCTCAAAATCTTCTGACAGACGGCGAAATGATTTTTGCAGACCAAGTTGGCAAAATTAATTGATCAACTACAATTCAAAATGGACGATCGAGATCGAAAGTTGATCAACGGGCAAATAGCTTTCATCTGCTATAAAATGCCCAAGCAGACTTGAAGACACAACAACACTTGGAGAGATTCAGAAAACACTTGAACAACAAAGAAAATTATCCAATCAATCATCAAGTGATATATTGAGCTATACACGATCAAATTCAAGTCTGAGTGAGAGAAAAATCTTTGTATTTCATTGTAAATCTTCTACTGAGTGTAGAAAAGGGGTAGAGTAACTAGGGAGAGTGAAAAACCCAGTTGGAGTGTAGCTTTGTGCGTAGCACTCGGTTGTGACGGGCAGAGTAACAAGGGGAGCTTGTGAAAACCCGGTGAGAGCGTAGCTTTGTGCGTAGTTCTCGTGGTGTAGGAGTACAGCTTGGTGCGAAGTACTCGGGAAGGCGGAGTAACAAGAGGAGCTTGCGAAAAACCTTGGTGGAGTGTAGCTTTGTGCGAAGCACTCGGAGAAGTGTCGTTGGGCACTTATTCACTATTGTATCTGGGTGATTGAAGAATAGTGAATTTCCTCCTTGAAGTGAAAGGAGAAGAGTGGACTAGGAGGATTACACCACCTCTGAACCACTATAAATCTCTCTCTCTATTTACTTACTGCTCATATATATTTCGTGCATGCCTATATTATTTGTGAACTAACCCGTTACGGTTTATTGCGTATCTTTATCTGTCTGGGTTTGATAGTTCCCTCGTTTGCATGCAAGTGAAATTTTAAATACATCATCCTACATCTATACTAAGTGTTTCTAACGTGATGCATGTATAAAATCTCTCTTGAGCACGACACAATTTAAAACATAACACTTTGCCGTTACAATTCCGCTGTGCACACTCTAAGTTGTTATACTTGTTTATGCTTGTTACTTAGAGTTGAAGTTACAAAGTGTTGTTTGCAGAAGTAGCTTGAAAAAGTTAGAGAAGTCTATTCACCCCCCCTCTAGACTTCTCACCACCCTTTCGGGACCAACATACCTCCTGGTAGTAATAGAGAAGCTATGCCACTTGATGCTACATTTAAAACAATCTGACCCTTTGACCTCAAAGCGGAAGACAATGCTCTCCGCAGGAAAGTTTTACCCGTACCACCATATCCGTACACAAAAAACAATCCCCCCAACTCTTTCTCAACATCATCCAAAACATTATCATATATTGCCTTTTGCTCTTCAGTCAGTTGTTCCACCAAACTATCATTCTCTTCCTTCATTGCATTAATGTCATATGACAATTCCTCTTGTATTAACCTATTGGTTGTTCTGTCCAGAAGTTGTAAATCAGGATATGGCATTGAAGGAAAGTCCTTCAAACTCTTTCCTATAGCTGTGAGCAGTAATTCTATCTCCGATAGTGCATAATTCTTTTTTTGATCCTCAGATAAAATTAAATCTGTTGTAAAATTATCACAAAAATAATATAAGTGTGTTTTTAAAAACATATTGAATAACATGAAGAAAGACAGAAACAAAAATTGAATACCTCCAAGTCCCGTTTGTTGTCTAATATGGAATTGTGCATCTTCAGTCAAATAGCTCCACGTAGCTTCCAACACCACTTCCGGTTTTGACATTGAGTTGGACACCAACAAAGTCACAAACAGTCTTCTCAAATTCGCAGATGTGGCCCACTGACCTGCTTCTTCAATAGCATGAACATATTCCTTATCGTCGTCTACTAATCCCCTAGCTGAACAGGCATCCCTAAAGGATTCATACTGCACACCATTGACTGTTCTTATATCCGCAAAACTTGTAGGCCCTTGAACTTTATTCAAAAGGCATCGCAAATAGAATATCTCGCCACTGCCAGGCGGTACGTAGAAAACTCTACCGATTGAAAACCCTCTTTTCCTTGGATGCCATTTTCTAATATCCTTTTTCCAAACAAACTTCGTTGGCATTTCAGCATATGTCAGTTTCCTTGCTTCTGGGTATGTTTTGTTTGCCTCAAACCATTCAAGGAACATGCTTTGTAATATAGTTGGTCGACTAAGTACGTTATCAACCGGATCATCATCTGCAAAAATTACACTCTGTTGATTGGGCAGGTGAAAGCTTAACTGTTCAACTGCTGGTGTTCTCAACTGTATTTCAAAACCAAACAAACGCCAGGCAGCTTCACACGGAGATATGTACCTACAATCATAATACATACTTATCTCATCAATCACTTGCGGTTCATCTCCCTCGTTGTTGCTGCGGTAGAACTCTGCGGTCACCCTGTCGTTACCCTTGTTCACGTATTTGAACAAGTACTTTATTGAACGGGATTGGTTGCACCATTCCACATTAATATGACCTCTATACTTTAGCAATAAGTGCCGATTGTGTGGCACCACATAGCGATTATCCAAAGTAATCCCATTTCTCACCACAGAACGACCATTGTCACGTCTCCGATAAATAGGATAACCATCATCGTCAAAATTAGAAACATTAACAAACTTTTTGGGAAAGTGTTTAGTACATTTACCCTTAGCCATGCATGGAGAATTCAACCGAGCTCTACCGCAAGGACCGTGCATCATATACTCATCCACTAATTTGAAGTATTCTGGATCTTGTATGGGATCAGGTAACTCAGCAGAAATTATGTTGTCCAAATGTAACCCCTGTGATGCTCGTTGTTGATTATCCAGAAATAGGAGTATATGAGCATGCGGTAGACCACGCTTTTGAAACTCGATGGTATAGATAACTATTAATATTGAAAAATGTATTTTCAGTTAGAACATAAACAACATTAAACAACAAATTGCTTACTTTGATAAGGTCATAGGCATAAACAAATATGCAAATACCTCCAATGACTGCTCCAAACAACTTGTCCTTCCTGCATTCTGAAATTAAAGCATCCAACTTCATCTTGAATAGTCTGCATATTATGTCAGGCCGGTCTTCCGGTTTTAAATTATGATCAGTCAAGAAGCGTTTCACCTCCGGCCACTTTGGATTGCATGTGAATGTAATAAATAAATCCGGGTATCCAACCCATCTACATATAGACATAGTGTCCTGGTAGTTCTGTATCATGTATCTAGCACCACCAATAAAACTCGACGGCAATATTATCCTTTTCCCTTGAGTCCGAGGATCGACTTCACCGCGTGTTAATGCATCGTTCAAGCAATTATATGTTTCGCACCTCAAACTTTTTTGGTGGGTCCTTATATAGATCAACCTGCCGGATTCGACCATTGTGTATGCATCTACCAGAAATTGTTGGAAAAGCCTTCTTGCATGCAGTAATGTAGAAATCTGCGTAACTCTAGACTGGATGAGGTATGAGAAGTATTCCCGCGGACTAATCCTTTGTCTACCACCTGAACTGTTTCCTTTTAATGTTGAGAACTGGATGTCTTCCCTATAACCGTCCTCCCCATAAGGAAACAACAACGGGTATTGCAATGGTAAGTACGCTGGGTTTAGTTCACTAATTCGTTGCAATAGAACAGTCTTTGTTTCCACTAAGATGTCATGCTCACCAATAATTGCATCAATATCCCCAACAATTAATGCAGCAACTTCTGAAACTTGAGGTAGATTATAAGTTCTCGCATCCCTTGATCTCTTACCAAGCAATTTTATCTTTACCTCAGCCACTGGATTATTTTCTATTTCTAAGCGGGCCATTCTGAAGGACTTTACCAACACATTATCTGAATCCAACGCTTGTTGAATATCCATGAAAATTTCTTCATGGATGTCACTCATATCACCGTCTGGCCTAATAATGCAACAACAAACGTTGTATTTGATTCAATTCGACAGGGGTTTCAATTAATATACGACATTGTATTAAAATGTAACGTATAACAATACAGACATACCTTACGGAAGTTAGGCGATTGACCATTTCATTATTTGTATCATAGATATATAATTGAGCAAAATGTGGCCGTTTCCCGTCAACCGGCTGGAGACTTCCAATGTAGTGGAAGTTTTGCCCATGTATTCTGAAAACTGGTGGTCCCCCGTTTTTGTTGACATCTCTATCTATCTTACCGCCCATTGAGGTAAAGCAGAACATATTATTGTACGTTCTAATGTTGTTCAAGAAATGCTTGCTTTTTTCACCACCTCCAAAAAAAAGGTCATATATTTGCTGCGGGGGCACTTGTGTTGATGGCAATTGAATCTTACCATTGTTGCAACACATTGTGTATCTGGGTGTACCGTGAATCACCATTTTATTTGTCCTTACTGCGTGCCAAAATAACGCCCCGCAATGTTCACATGTGTTATTTGCATCACCGAAATCATTGTATTCCACTACATATAAAAATCAATATTAATTTATCTATCATTAAACGATCATACTACTTTCCATCTTATGTAACAAAATTTAAACTTGAAACATACATTTGTGTGCAGCTGACGGTTGTGATAGATTAGTAAGAATTTCTTCTTGTTGAGCATTATGGTTGAATCCTGTATAGTAAAATATATCAGTTCCAACATTGATTCCAAACACAAATAATAACATTGTAATTATTGCCCAAATAATTACCAGTGGCTATTCCGTTTTGGGTTGCTGGAACTGTTGTGTTATTGGAGACTTCTTCAAACGCCCTAGATAAATCTCTGTTCAGCACATTCGTTGCCTTTGGGTCTGCCCCCAGCTGCGTGACTTGAACGATGTTTCTGTTTTTTTTTACTAAACAAACCATTATCTATAAAACTAATATTCATAATATCGCACTGCATTAATAATTTACATTAAAAAAAAAGTACCATTTGATATTTCTGATAGAGGTCGTCTTGTAGTTGTGGATTGGTTTACTTGACCTTTTAGCGTTACAGTGAGCAAAAGAGGAACGTTTAAATTAAACCATTATATAGTAAAACAAAGACCAATTGTAAAATGCACTTGAAGTTACCATTAGTGATGCCGCTACTATTAGTTTGGACTAAAGGGCTGTTGACTCCTAGTACGAATTTTCTGCATTTACTGTTGCTATTTGTATATTCCATATTATGTGCGCCGAGGTGAATACTGCTAAATTCTTGTTTTTAGAAAAATACAATAAAATAAACATTAGTATAAACGTATACATACATGAATAAAAAAGAACAATAACATATATAATAAACAATGAACTGTTTTGGTTTACCATCCGTGACACCAGTATTGGGTGTTGCAGTTCTATTAGCAGTGCAATTTGGTGTTCCTGCCGCGTATGAGTTCGTTTGATTTTCTTTTCCAGCATCATCCGTATTTGTTCCCACCGTAAGAGTAGGTACATTTTTTGCCACATAATAAACAAAAAATATATTTAGTTCAATTTTTTTTGTATATTAATAAGTACAAAATAAAGACATGACAAAATACAACCCATTACGGTGTGGACCATGGTCCACACCTGGATACTTGTTTCATTCTGAACATACAATTGTAATATATAGGGAATGTACATACAGTTTGTAGTTTTGGTAAAGTACCTAATATAATGAAGGGGAAAAGAACAAAAAGAATGTAAAACACAATGGTCCACACAATGTTATGTGGACCATATCAGAAATACTTTGAAAATATATTACATTTACATTAATTTTGTAGTTAATGTACATTAACTAATATAATGTACACTCAATGCAACCACAATGTACATCCCAATTGCTAAATGTATTATATAATTTTGTGATGAATATACATTTACTTGGACCATACTTAACCCAGTTATATCAATCATTGAATAAGCCCTACTTAGCAAATGTAGAACACAACATTTAACTATACATAAGCCCAAATTCACTAAGCCGAAACTCGACCCTACAACCCAGACCCGATATACCCGACCCACTTCTCCCTAAGACTACCCGTAGATACACATTTTGACATTTCAGACCACCCTCCCCTACCTCTTAGCTCTCTCTCTCTCTCTTACACTCACTCCGCTCGTAAGCTCTCTATGTGTCTAAGCTCTCTCTGTCTCTAACCTCTCTAAGCTCTCTCTGTGTCTAACCTACTGTAAACACTCTGATCTTGATGCTAAACACTCCGATCTTGTTCCTTTGGCTCTATTGTTTACGTTTTATACTGTTACTCCATACGAATTCCATTGTGACCGCCTAATCTCGCTATTCACCGAAAAACCTTGATTCGTCTAAACACTTACCTCACTAACTCATTAGGACTCCGTAATTTCAAATCCATCTAGTGTTTAAGAACGATTTGTGTTGTTTTAGACATAGAGGTTTGAAATGATCGAAAAACCCTAACTGTGGATTCGACCGATGGTGTGCAAAGCTTTAAATCAGGTAAAATTTCTATCCATTTCGTGTTTTTATACTCTAATCTGTGTAAATCATTATATTTACTTTTACATAGTGTATAGATTAGTTAGACATACAAAATCAGTTAGGGTTCTAACCAAGTATTAATCTCGATTTTTTTTTCAGGCAGTTTTGTAACATTAACAGCAAGAATAATGATAACAATGGCGTTTTTGGGTAAAAATTCTCGACCCACTTTACATAAAACCAGATTTGCGAAAGGTAATTCTGAAACTAAAAACTTAATGTGCGTAGGTTACCTGGATTATTACTTGGCTGCTTCCTCTTGCTCCCTATAACTGTAAAACTTAGAATTTTCCGCATGATTACACTGTTTATTTTTTGTGTGTGGTAAAACTGAAACTGCAAATATTGTAACTGTATTAGTGTGTTTAATTCCAGGTTTTATACAATCATTTTACTGATTGTGTTGTTTATCTCAAAAATGGTGTTCTGTGTGCCAAATGTTGAAGCAGTAATTGATTAGTATGACTGTTGAGTTCTTCTTGAAAACAGTGAAATTGTTATTAATTCTCTGGTTTATCATGTGAATTGGCTTATGTTAAAATGATGTTAAATTGGTATATGTGGTATTACTAACTGAGATTTTTTCTAGGCAAATGATGATATATAAAGAATCTGATGCCAAGTGTTAGAGAATTGAAATTCTGTTTCTTAGATAAACAATACAATGTGAATATGAATTTAACAGTTGAAAGTGAAATCATTTTTATGAATATGCAACTGCTGATCTTTCTAACCTTATGCCAAATTCTTTTAACCTTTTTTTTCTTAGATTATTAATTGTAGTTTGTTTATTTAAGCTTTAGATGACTATCCTAAACTGCGTGGTATTAACAATCTGATGCAAAGTTTTTTGATAAATTTATGTTTCTCTAGATAACCCAAATCAGGAGAATTCTTTTTGTTTAGGGAATTAATTCCGTAACTGAGTATTTTAATTCTTTTTGCCATATTTAGATAGCTTATTCAAGTTGCTATACCAAAATAAGTTTAAAACATTTTGTTCTTTCTTGATTCTTTGGGAAATAATGAAACTTTGTTTGTGATTCATATATTGAATGAGTAATTTAGATTTTCAAAATACATCTAATCTTTCTTTGTTTTGACATTCCTTTTGCCACAACAGTTAAATACTTTGCATTTGTGACAGATTCGTATATATCACAGATTCAGAAAGTTCAGATTGCAAATTAGTACATTGTAAATTAATATTTTGATGTTCATATGGGAAAAACCCAAGGAAGAATTTGTCAAAATCAATGTAGATGGATCGGTAAAACCGCAAACAAATGACGCATCTTGTGGAGGTATCATCCGTGACTGCAATGGAGTTTGGAAGCAGGGATTCGTATTCAACATGGGTAACTCTACCCCATTTGAAGCAGAGGCATGGGCACTCCTCAAAGGAATACAACTAGCAGCTCATACAGGTTACAAAAAGGTGATACTCGAATCAGACTCTACCATGGTGGTCAATTACATGCTTAATAAAAGAAGACCATCAACAGTTGCACATAATATTCTTGAAGGGTGCAAAAAGGAGTTAAAGGTATTTGATGCATGGAAACTTTCAGCCATACCTCGAGAACAAAATAATGCAGCCGACAGTTTAGCCAAAATTGCTAGGAATTTCCCAAAGGGCATCCATATCTTAGATAGCCCTCCTGAGGTGATGAAGAGTATATTAGAGGATGATATTGAGGGACGGCCTGTTTGGCGTCACATTTGTAACACAAACTAACTAGTCTTGTACCTTTCCTTTTCCGTTTGGGGTATCCCCCTACCATGATAAATAAAAAAAATTAATATTTTGATTTTTTGTATTTGTACTGTCGTAAAAAGCATTGTTAGCTTTTATTGGTACCTCCTAAGCTCAAAGCTGTATCATATTTTGTAACAAATGTATAAAAAGCTTAAAATGACTTTCAATCCATTTATATGAGTCCATTGCTTTGTTACTAAAGTATTTTAAAAAATTGGTTATCAAGAAGTTCATTTCATAGGCAAATGATGATCTTCAAAAACTGATGCCTAAATGGTGGATAAAGTGTTAATCTTAGATCATTAAATTATCTATGACTGTATTGCTTTAACTAATTGATAATTTAAGATTTGAAATGACTTATAATTTCGTTCTATGTGTACATTATTTAAAATGTGATTCTCAAATTAGATAAAGTTTCAGAAATGGTTTTTATTCTTTTATCTAAATTTTTTTTTAAAAAAAAAGTATTTTGGGTAATTTGATTTGAAACTTAATAATATTTAGTAAATTGTAGTTTATTTTAGATAAGAACTGGTGTGCTTGGATGTTTGATGGCAGATTGTTCCTTTCCTAAATGATTTGGTATTTAATAACTTGTTTTAGGTACTTTAACATTAGATCACTTAACTTACTAAGCAGTTTATTATTTAAGTAAAAATGCTTATCTTTGGCATGTAAAGAAAAAAAAAATTAAGCAATCTAACAACAGCTTAAATGTTTTGTCACACAAAATAAGATGAGGTTTTATAATACAAATTGCAAGTATTCAACAATAAGAAAAATTACAACTACCAAAGACTTGGTAAGAATACCCAAAAAAAAAAAAAAAAAATTATACTACATTTTAATCCAATTTGATGTTGTACTTTCTTTTGTTGCTACTCTTTGGTTGCTTGTGGTTTTCTCTGATGGCTTGAAAACTGATATCCTTTATTGCTTGTTCTTGGTATATCCTGTTAGGCTTACGACATAGAAACAACCATTAAAAAAAATTGTTAGCAAAACATCAGTAACTCAGAGATCATATTGTGATCCTTAGGAGTTCTCAAATCCAACCTGCATACAGATAGATAAACAATACAATACCAAATAGTTTAAACATTCATGGATGATTAGACAACTGATAAGTACATAAACCAAAATACTCAAATACAGTACTTTAGCACTATTAAAGTGCTAAGAAGTCTTGGTGCTTCCCAAAAACAAACTTCAACAAAATACAGTACTTTGCTCATAATTTAACAACAGACCAGGAATCTAAAATCTTGAGGTTTAACACTCAATTTTTTGTCTTCTTAACCTTGCCAGAAGAAGAGAACTGATCAATTAGTGATCTCTTAACCAAATTACATTCTTCCAAATTAGGCACTGGACTCTGAGTTTGCTGAACACTTGTGGGACTGTTGACCTCATTATCACCATTGGATGCTTCCTATAAAATGAAATTAGTGATTTAGTTTTCAAACTTAGGCAAAAGTAGAAAAAAAAAAACTGAAATGCTAACATAAATAGTATTACCTGATCAGATTCATCATCATCCTCTTCATCCTCATCAATCATTTTAGATATCAGGTCCTTCTCTTGGTTGTCTTTCAGCTTTGAACAGTAGGTAGAGACTAATATTTCATCCCTCAACAGTCTCATCACAATATAGGCTGGATTGGATCCCCTCATCTCACTGATTTTCAATGATATCTTAAATATCATTGACATTCCAATTAGTGATTCCAACTCTTTTGGAATGTCTGAAACCTAAAACCAAGACCCAAAAAATTTAGGAAAAGTTAACAAAGAAATAGATTTTGTATCTAATAAGACAGTGATGTGTTTAGGATAGTTAGCTTACCTTGTTATATTTCTTGTAGAGGATGTTTGCAGGGATTCCTACCAACTCTGAACACTCCCTATCCCATAAAAGGAAGGGAGCATCTGATAATCCTTTATCCATAACCCTTATTTTAACCCGATATCTTGTCATTCCTTCCTTGTACTTTTTATCACAATTTGTACACAGTAGATCAACTCCATCTGGTTTCAGTTTTCTGTTGCAACCCGATGTCATGCAAGATATGTACATCCATCCAAATGAACCTTCAATTCCTACAATCTCTGCAGGGACATAAAAATCCCCATCCTGCAGTGAACCAAATAATTAATTAGTTACACTGCTAATTGAGTGATTAAATGTAGTCATAGCAGACATATTGTAAACTGAATACAATTCTCACCTGTTTGTTTTTCAATAAATCACCAACTGAAGTGACAGTGATAGCACCACTCCTGAATTCAGAAATCCCAGTGGACTAGGGCATAACTGTTGCATTGCTAATACTTCTTATAGGACTATGAATAGTGGTTATCCTACACAATACAAAAAAAAAAAAACAAAGACAATGAATACAGTACTGTAAATGAGATTGAACAAAGTTTGATTTTAAAAGAAAAATTAGAAACATACTTGGCCCTGAAATCTTCAACTTCCTGATAAGAGGAATTCAAGTACAGCTTGGTAGCATCATAGGAACTTGTGATCCTGACTTCACCTAATAGGACAACATAAAAAAAAAAAAAAAAAAAAAAAAAAAAAAAAAAAAAAAAAAAAAAAAAAAAACTAAACAGTGATGTATAAAATAATGATTTAGGGAAAGCAGAAAAATAAACAGAAATATATGTTAGGGATAACTAAACATCTTACCATTTACAATTTTTGCCCTACATAGTTGAATGACCACAACTAATGGTTCTTTGAGATCTGAATTGTAGAATGGTAGCATGGGAGCTACATGGTTATCCCAAACAGTGCATTTCAAATGATTTCCCCTGTATTGAAATGTGTTAGTAAAATGGACAAATATTTTAATGAACTTAATACATAGATTGTGTGAAACTTACTCATTGTCTGCTATCTTGAAATCTATCAGTTTAGCTGGTTTCCCCCCTATTATTTTGTCAACTGGAGCATGTATCTCAATGACTCTGCCTATTACATCTGTAATCCAACAAAACAAATTTATATGGGTGTAAAAATTAAATCTGAAAATTTAGCATTGCATACAGAAATGACTTACCAAACATGACTTTGTCATTCACTAAAGTTGGATCTTTCAGACATTGATAGGGTTTAAGCTGAAACATGTTGGTAGGAAAGCCTCTGGATTTGATTGCCTTGACCTGAGTATCGTAGTTCAACCTTATCATATACTGGTGATCACAAGTCCTATACATATAGTACTGGCTGAACACCAAAATTTTTTTTATAGAATAGAGCTTCCCTTCCTTGAAGACATTCTTGTACTTGTCTACATCCGAGTTTTGCATGTTTACATGAATAAAAGTTCCCTGCATGATAGATTAGTGAACAGATTTTATACTGTGGAATGAAAGACAGAAAAATTTAACAGTGAAAAAAATTGTGCTTACCTCTTGATCGCATACCAGAACCTCTCTACTCTTCATCTCTTTCGAGCCTCTCCTTTCAGGTATTTCATAAACTCTAACACACCTAACTCGTATAGCCCTCTCTCTATCAAGAGGGACAATATCTTTAACCAAAACATACTGACTTGGCATGGTTAAATTTGCAGGGATTTTGAATATTGTTGACTGCTAATGAAGAGATGTAACTGAAGAGATGGAACAATGGTGGGTAAAAAAATATTGACACAGAGGTTTATATAGGCTCAAGAAGTGAAATTCGAAATTTGAAGATAGCATTACTTGCAGCCGGAATAGTGATGGAAACCTTTGAGTTTCCAAGAAAGAAATCAGAATCATCATGCTGATTATTTCGAAGCATTTTTTTTTAATACGTTGTTCAATATGTATGTGTATATCTGAATGTCTTTAGGTGTATATATGTAAATAGATATATGAAGTCTTGGAAATAGATTACATTTAGGTTATCATTAGAAGTCTTACATAATCAGATGTCTATTTAATTACGTTGGTATCATAACACATTAGCCGTATAATGCACATTGGAAAGCCAACCGTTGATTGAAGACAATAAATTCGAAGATTTATTCTCACTTCTCAAAACGACGCAGTATCGTATGGGCGGGAAAGTGTGTTTAGTAGAAAGTTACTGCTTTATTATATTGATAGATAACTGTCACCAAAATAAATGTTTGCAACTTTGTAATAATGTTAATCTAAGTACTAAGTCTAAAAGCGATAGTCTAACTAAATACTCTTTTTTGTTTAAATTTCTAATTCTCTTTTGGGTAACATTGTTATTGTTTTCATCTTCAATACATGTCCTTTTTTTCTGTTATTGGTAGTGTGTCATGTGCAATTGGGTTATTGGTGGCATCATAGAGGAATTCATCATGCAATGAGATTATGGTGTATGAAGTTTTAGATTTGTCTTGTTGTGTATATGACTGAGATCTTAGTTGTGCTATGAACTTTTTATCTTACAAGCACATGTTGATATTTTATAGTGATAATTTTTCCCTACATGTTTCATGTGTTGTGAGACATATAATTCTAAATTAATTAAATGCATATGTATTATTTTTTGTTGTAGCTACTAATTTATTTTTAAATTTAAGTAATAAGAGCAATAAAGTGGGCAAATTATGCTATGGAATCGTGTCCACATTGCAAGGTGGATATGGTTCTAAAACTGTTAATAATTATGAATATATAGTTTAAAAATTATGAAGATATAGTTCTATAATTATGAACATAGAGTTGTGAACATATAGTTCTGTAATTATGAATATAGAGATTCAATAATTGTGAATATGAAGTTAAAAAATTATGAATATATACTTTTATAATTATGAACATATAATTCAGTAATTATGAACATAGAGTTCTGTAATTGTGAATATAGAGTTCAATAATTGTGAATATAAAGTTCAATAATTATGAATATGAAGTTCAAAAATTATAAATATATAACTTTATAATTATAAACATATAATTCAGTCATTATGAACATAGAACCGTGTCCACATTGCAAGGAGGACACAGTTCCACAGCATAACGATTGAATAAAGTGGCGTACATATTTTTCATCTGAATAAAGTGGCGTACATACTTTTCATCAACAATAATGAAATCATTGATTTTTTTTTTTTTTTAATTTCCATTCGTTGTTGAGACAAATTGTTTCGAGAGTTTGTCAATGACAATTGCTGTCAATAGATGATGATAATAAATAATTCAAAATATAAGATTACAATAGATGTTATTATAATAATGTAGTAAAAATTAACTTACAAATTTCTTTAGAAGTTTTCATGCATTGATAAAAGCATAATTGAAATATTAACTATTGTTCTCAATAATCAAAAGAAAATTAATTAAACGAAAAAAAAAAACTAAACTTAAATTTATTATTCTTTTTAATGAAAAAAATCAAATGATTTTCAAAGTTCCTGATTTATAATCATTGAATGCTATGTATTTAGTCGGACTAATTATTTGACCAAAATTTATGTTAAATTTTATATTATATTTTTAATACATTTTAACATATTCGTAGTATATGTTTAAAAATTATTATGCTAACTCTAATTGGAATAGGGTTCGAACTTAAGACCTTTTTTATAGAAATTAATAAGTAAGTTAATAAAGTTTATACTAACGGAATTTAAGGATATTTAAGGAAAGAAAATAATATAATAAAGGGTAAATAAGGAAAATCATTAAAAATACTAAAATCAAAATATTATGAACCATTCATTTTAAGAAACAATTAGTACCGATATTTTTTTTATTTTTTTTATTCCAATTAAGGGCCTAACATTATTCGCTCTTATTAAAATTGTAGAGATATAGATTGTAGATGTAGATATTGGATATAATAATTTATATAATTATATATTGATTCAAATATTATTAAAATATTTTAACAAATTCATTTCGTGCATCACACGGGAACAAATACTAGTTATATATTTTATACGAAAATCATGTATCACTAAACCACAATCAAACATTTTTTGTTCCTACCAAGTATAGTGCATTTGAAATATTATTATTGTTTTTGGTTCACTCCAAACAAGCACACTCAAAGCAGTCATTGAACAACTACGGCTCCCGACTCCTTCGCATTCCCTCCGTCTCTCTCAACTCAAGATGTTGAAGCTCTCAAAGCTCCTGGGCTCCAGGTGAACTCCAAACACTTTTCCTAATGACTATTCCAGTTTCTAATGGCATAAAATTTGTTATTTCACGCCATTTATACATTAAACCCCTCTTAAACCCTAGTCATTTTTTCTAACTCTTCCTCTATCATCGTCTAAACTTTCGGCACTCTAAAAGCCTCCTTATTTTTCCGATTTTATCCTTTGAAGTTGGATATGCAGTATTTTTTATTTTATTTTATAATTATTGTTATTGATTTTGGTTCATTTGTGAGGATGTTCCCTTAAAAATCCAAAGTTATGTTGAAAAAGAATGCTACTTTATTTTTCATTTGAATTGGATGTTGTGAAAGAAGGAAATTTGAATTTTATCAATTGCAATTTGCAAGAAGTTAATCCACTGAAGCTTTGAACTTTGGACAAGAAAAAATAGAATCTGGAGTATGGAATGAACACTATGGACTATGGTTCGTTAGTATGTGATTGTTGGGTGATTTGTTTTATTTCATAGTTCAAGCAGTTGTTTCAGTCTTCACATTAAATTCTATAGCTTAGTGATTTCTTTTGCTCCATTGCCATTTCAAGTGGAAGGTCATTTAAGTCTTCGTATTAAATTCTTCATGTGAATGCCCTTTGATACATTGCCAAGTGATGTGCATCATGGTGTGCTTACCTTTGGGTTCTTTACTTTTGTTGCTAAAGTTTACGCAATTGCTTAGCTAGGTGAAAACTCCTCGTGCTGAAATGTTAAATGGTTTTTTAAGCTAATTACCTTTACTTGTACATTGCAGTTTGCGTGGTTTCTCCTCCCAGGCAGGGATGCCTATTGCAAAGAAATATTTTGAGGCTGATGGTACCAAATTATTTGAGAAAGAATATAGTTGTTTCGATTTATGCATACAATGATGAATAAACATCTTACATCATTATGTCTTTTTTTCTTTTTTTATAAGGGACATTGAGAAAAAAAGTATTTGCCCCCTATACTATTTTCAAGGGCAAAGCTGCTCTCTCTGTTGAACCGAGACTTCCAACATTCAGTAAATTAAATGTACGTGTTTCTTTAACATTTGAAATTGTATTTGAAAATTCTTTTCATAACATAAACTTGAATATTTGATTTTATTTATGCTTCCATTTCTTAGTCAGGAGGTTTAAAGGTTGAACGCAAAGGTGTTATTATGTTGACATTCCTTCCTGCCGTTGGTGAGCGCAAATATGATTGGGAAAAGAAGCAAGTAATGTTCTTGTTTTTCTAATCAAGCAATACTCTTTCCCTTTCAATTTCAGATATAAAAAAAAAAATAAAAATTGAAGGCAAGCTCTCTTAAAATACTAGGAGTAGGAGCAATACAAACAGAATAAATTTGTTGAACATCAGAAAGTTTTCCTTGCCTTAGATACTACAAAATTTTTAGAGTTTTTCTTCACAATCTTAATCTATGGATTGGTATTATACAATGTCTAAAATTTTATCTTTGCCTCCTGTTTCTTTCTCATGGAATTTTTCTTGACTGATTCATTTGACATCAAATAGATGTTTGCTCTGTCGGCAACTGAAGTTGGAACCGTACTAAATTTGGGTCCTAGTGATTCTTGTGAATTCTTCCATGATCCTTCAATGCTACAAAGGTTGATACTCTAATCTAGTTTTTCAAAATAGTCTTTTCTGCACATAATGTTGCATAGAGTAACTACTTTATTGCCCTAATTACATTAATATTTTCAGCAATGCTGGTGAAGTTAGAAAAACCTTGTCAGTTAAGGCACTTGGTGATGGCAGTGGTTATTTCATGTCTCTTAGTAAGTTTCATAGCTAGCCACTTATATCCACATCCTTTGCAAAACATGCATGATATTCAACTAAAGTATTGTACACAACTACACACAGTATATGCATCTGTATTGTGAACATTATTGTCCTAAACATGTTACATGTGATCATTACCCTTGCCTCCAATGCATGTTTCTTACGGCAATTTGAGAAAGTAATGCTTTCTTGTTTCCAATCACTTTTGCTTTTATTCTCTTTTCCTCTGCAGGTGTTGTCAACAACACCCACAAGACAAATGATCGCCTAACAGTTCCAGTTACTGGTGCTGAATTTTCTGTCATGCGAACAGCTTTCAATGTATGTTACTATTATAATGTGTTTCTCCCAATTGTTGGAGTTCATAATTTGATCATCCTTTAGTGCATTTTGTCTGATTAATCAATTCTGCTTTCACAATTGATATACAAAAATGGGGATCTCATAGATTTCATTCATGTAGATTGTAGATACTTGACACAGTAAATATATACCACATGGCTAAGCCATTATCATTTATTCCTTGGTCTGTATGACGAAATAAAAGAGTTTACAAGTTTAGTATTCTTGATGGGGATATTCTTAGTACATACAGCCTTTGCTAATCTCAAACTACTGAACAAGGTGAGGTAAACACATAAAATGGGGGTTGCAAGATAGGGGATCTGCCATCAAATACATGTCCGGTTTGTTGAAAATCGATCTGAATGTGCATTAATGAAATGTTGTGGAATAGAGTTGCAACTAAGATCTCAATATTCCCATCTTCTGCTATAATTGTTAAAACAATTTTCTTTGTTTACTTCATCTAGTAATGAAATAATGTGCTTTATATATTTATCTTCAGTGTTTTATGTATTGATGTGATAACTGAGAAGGTATGAGAATGGACTGGAACTAATTATTTTTTTAGATTCATAGTGGTCTTCAAGTACCTAATTCTTTATTCTAAGAATTATGATCATAATCTTTAGTTCAAAAATGAATCTTTATAAATTGAAATTGAAATTTATGACTATAACTTGTTCTAGTTTGCTAGTTCATACTTCTTAAAATCATAGTTAATTAATTTATAGGTAGCTAGACTCAATATTAAATTGGTAGGTTATAGGATGTCTTCTGAGATTGTTGTCATAAACCCCAGAGAAAGTTAAGGACAATTTTTTTTATAGAAGATCATATATATAATAGTGTTACACATTTCACAACTTTTTGTGTTTGGTATTTTCCATTGAGAGTAGAATGTCTTCTTGTTGGTGATTACATGCCAAATAGCCTCTCCAAAAGATGGTGAATTTGATTAAGAAGCAAAGTATAAATGTATAATCAAGATAACTTGTTTGCATGATGAGCGATGCTATAATTGTTAGAACGAAAAACTATAATTGTTGGATTATGATGTGCTTGCTCGACTCCCAAGTTTTCCATTACATCTTGTTGCTTGCGTTCCTTGTTCTCATGCCTTATTGCAGAAGACACGCTATTTATCTTCTTATGTATTTAAATGCAGTTTGCTTTGCCTCACATCATGGGGTGGGACCAGTATACGAATCTTCAGCAAACGAACACTAGTGAGTTGCCTTCAGGAAATGTTGCACAATTTGCGAAGTCGGAATGGGAACGATGAAGCTATATGATCTCTGTGAATATCTAATTTGCTCCCAACTTAAAAGTAGTGTATGTTGCTGCCCTGTACTTGTGACTTTTAGCCTCTCCTAAATGTGCTAAAGCACACTTGCTGTATGATGATGAACTTTGCCTCTTATTTGAAGACATTCTATTCTTAAAAGCCATTGACCAAGCTTGGTTGGCAGATTACATTTATAGTTTTTAGCTTGCTTGTTAAAACTTAACCTAGTACCATCTTAATGATGGAGATACTCCTGTGTTTATCTTCCCCCTCTCCCCCACCGGCAGCCACTGCTACTGCCCCGGCCCATGCCAACCCACCACAACCATCCTGTGCATGTATGTGTACATTTTACATTTACATAGGGGTGTTTGGTAAACACGGAGTAGGAGTAGCTGTTAGCTGATTGGGTTAGTGGGTTTGATTAGTTGATAGTATTAGTTGATTGTAGAAATATGTTTTGGTAAATTAGCTGTTAGCTGATAGTTTATTATATGCAAAATGAATTTTTCAAAAAGCTGATCAAAAAAGCTGTTGTGAGCGGCTTTTTGAATTTTAGTATTTTGGAGTAATAAGCTTTTACAAAAAGCTAATTAATCAAACACTTGTGTGTTTGTTTAACAAAATCAAATTGCTAATAGTGGTCAAATAAGTCAAAATTGGCCATAGCTTATTTTGACCATTTGTTTGTTAATTGAAGATGAGATTTTGTTCATGTTTATAAAATTTGGAGAAAAGATTAAATCAAATCATAGTAATAGATTATGTTTAAATTATTAGTATTATTATTATAAAACTAGTATAACTTAATTTTCGAAACAAATGCATAATTTATTAATATTTTACAAATTTAAATTCAAATGAAATTATTTTTTCAGATGTTAAAAAGTTTTACTAAAAAAATTCACTAATAAGCCGACCCATGACATTGCTACACAAATCAAAATTATGGCTTTTTATATGAAAATCATGTATCATTAGACCAAGAATTGCTTATGCGGCTCCTATGAAGTCTGCTTCAATAATCAATTTGGCCTGGAAGAGTGGAAGGCAGTTTGGAAGCAGTGGGTTCCAAACAAAGTTTGCACATTTCTGTGGCTTCTCTATCACCCGTGCATATTGTGTAATGTTGAACGAAGGAGAAGAGGCTACACGGTTGGTGGTTCCTGTGTGCATTGCCCAAGTGTTGATGAGGATCCCGATCATATCATTCGAAAATGTAGGATGGCTAGGGAAGTTTGGCGGCGTGTGGTCCCGGACTACAACTGGGATCGTTGGGAAAGTGGCGACTTCGTGGATTGGTTACTCACCAACATTACCTGCAGGAAGCCAAATTTCAACAGCCGTGCAGACTGGGGTGCCTTCTTCTCCCTCACGGGCTGGTGGCCGTGGCGATGGCGTAATCCGACTGTGTTGGGTCGCACGAGTGGTTTCACTCAAGCTTCGAGACCGGAGAAGAAGTGATTGTCCGCCGAGCAAAGGATTTTGGTTATGCTTGTGTCAGATTGTTTGTTGCCGAATAACAACAAAAGTTGGTTGCTGGGAAAGTTGGAGCGCACCTTTGCTTTTTGTCTTAAGAACATGGTGAAGTTCAATCTACCGGCCTTGATGTTGCAGCATATGGTCTTCTGCCGTGATCACAACCGAAAGAGCCTACCGTATGGTATGGTGTTGAGCTGGATTTTTGTCAAGAAGGGTGTGAGCGTTGATGGTTGTTTTCCGAAGCCCGTAGGAAAAATGGTGTTGGATGCTATCAATCTGCGGAGCTGCAACTTGTTTCAGTTGGACGATGGTGATTACATCACGCTGGAAGAAGTTGCTAGGAAGATCCCCGAGGAAAGAGATGAGTTGGTTGCAGAGCTCGAGATCCCTGTCGGAAAGTTGAACCTCGCAGTTCAGAGCCTAGGAGGTGATGTGGGGAATGAGGAAGAAGTAGGTCAAGAAGAGGAAGCAAAGGCGGGAGAAGCTACCGAGGTTGAGGAAAGCGAAGAAAATCGAAGAAGAAGATAAGCCCGAACCAAAAGGGAGCACGATGCTATGACGCATGAGGAGCGCGTGATCACCTTGCTTCGTCAACAGAACCGGATGATCGAGGAAGGCTTCGCTTTCATGAAGACGCAGTTTGTTGCCTGCCGTTCACCAGAGGTTAGATCAGATCGAGGCCAGCTCAAGCCGAAGAGGAAGTGGTGACGAGGAGTCCGAGGAGGGCACTGATGAATCGGAGAGCGAGTCGTTTTAGCTCGGTGTTGTAGTAACCCCGTTTTTTTTTTTTCCTTTTTCTTTTTTCCCTTATCTTGTGTTATCTTCTAGTTAGTTGTTGTTACCGCTTGTGAGTTGCTTGTTGTTGCCTTGTGTGTTCGTTTTTGCTTGCTTGTTGAGTTGAGTGGTTAGTTTTGTGGCTTGTGCTTTGAGCGAGTTGTTTAGATCTTGGGTGTTGGATAGAAGTTGGTGGTTGTGTTTGGTTTAGAGTTTGATATGCTCATTATCTCCGTTGATAATTTCTTTCCAACTCTTGAATGTCATGACTTCTTGCTTATGTTTGTTACCTTTTTGAATCCTTTGAGTTTTGACCAAATAAATATGTTCTTGACACTCTTGTCACATTGTTGTTTCATTTCACCGTTTGATCTAATTCGTCGTACCCAAGCTTCGGGGACGAAGCTTCTTTGAAGGGGGAGAGAATGTGACACCCCGTAATCCAAATTCAATTAAGGGATTAATTAAGTAATTAATCCTAATCCAATTCATAATTTAATTCCTTAAATTCCTGTAAATTCAATAGTCGGGGACTAGTAATTGACTAGTCAACCCCAAAGTCAAGTGCTGTACCTAAAGTCTTGTGAGTAGTTCCCTTGTTCCCTTACACCTCTTCCTTTTAGTAAGAGTAATAAAGACATTTCACCCTATGTTAGAACTGCAAGCTAACCTAGAGGACCACCCTTCATTCTTTCCCCTTACACTTTCTAAACTTGAGCTCCTCCTTCTCTCTAAATGTTAGATAGCTTTTCTTCCAAGCCAAGTTGGAGCTTTACCAAATCTTCAAAGTTTGTCTTCAAGATTCCACCTTTCCTACCTTTGAGCATCTAGAAGGGTAAGATCTATGTTTATCTTGTGTTTTTAGTGTTTTCTAAGGTGTCTTTCCTTAAAGATAGAATCTTTATGATCTTTTGGTGTGTTCTTGAAGTGGGTGTGGAAGGTGAACCCTATTAGGAGCTTGGTGAAGTGTTGAGTGAAGTTTTTTGTCTACAAGAGGTAACTCATGCTCTACAAAATCTATTTTGTCTACCTATATGATGATTTCTTCGATTCTACATGTGATTTTGCTATGAAATGTGAGTGTTGATGCATTGTCTTGTGAAAATGCATATCTAGAGCTTGTTATTAGGGTTCTTGTATGTCATTGCTTGGCTATTCCTTTGATTCAAGTCATTTTGTTGTGTTTGGTGAGATTTGACATGTTTTGGACTTGAATTTGAGCTTGGAGTTGAAAATTCCCAGAGGGATATTTTTGGTACAGGAGTGTACCCGCGGGCGGAACGGCGGGTAGTGCACCACCCGCCGCCCCACCCACGGGGTACATGGTGGTTTGGGAGGTGGTTCCCGCGGGCGGAACCACGGGTGGGGGGTCCACCCGTGGCCCCACCCGCGGGTACACAATGTTCGCTTGTTGGGGATTTGTTCCCCGTGATTATTTTGACTCGGTATTTGGTCTCTTGACTTCCCGATGTTCTTTTGTGGAACTATTTGAGCGTCTTCTTGATGTTTCGTATGTCTAGAACTATATGGTAGGATTCCATGTAGGTTTTGGCGTCTTGAATCGTTCTAAGTATTCAACATTGTGATTCGTTGAACCGTGATAAGTCTTGTGTGTTCTTCAGAACGATGTGTGGTTTACCCGTTTGATAAGCATGCTAGTTCGGTGTTTAAATGCTAGCGTGTGTGTTGTTTGTCCTTTCCTATTGTGGATGACTTGTGCTAATCATCGTTGGAGTCGGATTGTGATCCATTCCTTGATTGAGTATGGTTTCATATCTTCGTTGTGATCCGTTGATTGATTCCTGTTGTGGTGTGGTGTGTGTAGTTGTACCTGGATTGCACGACTAATGGTATGGGACATTAGTCACCAAGGTACGGCAGTGGTCCTCGTGGTGGCCATGACGCGATTATGGAGTTTGTGACCTGAGTGATGGGTTCACGTATTTCTTGGGTTGCATGTGTTGCCGTGTGTGTGATCGGTACCCTCGTGTACTATGAATTGGTGGTCTTGTTGGTGGTTGTTGGTGGGGGACGACGGTCCCAGGAGGGAAAATGTTGGACTCAGAAGTACAGGGGTCCTGGAGGTAAAGGTTGGAACTAGCTATAAGGTTGGGGGTAGGCATAAGGTTGGAACTGGGCATAAGGAAGGCATCTCAATTCGTGATGGGTGATGTCATGAAGGCTTGTGTAGCCGTTGTTGTGTATTTTTCTATTTTGTGACATGCGTGGTCACAAAGGCATGTGTTGCCAATGGTTGTGTCCTTATTCTCTTGTGTTATGCATGTCGGGTGTTAATCTACTGTGTGATGGTAGATTATGCCTTGAGCCGTTCTTGTGAGTCGTTATCGCTTCTTGTTGTTTGGGATGTGTTCCCTTATCTTTATTGTGAGCGCAAAGAGTCTTGTGTTTGACTTCTATCTTGGCTTTGAAATTGATATATATTATATCTCATTTCGCAAATGATTTTATATATATAAACTATCTACATATGATATTTCACATGTATTGGTGGGTTACCAGCATCATTCGCTGACCGGGCATCGTCCCATATATATTTGTGTTCTTTCAGGTGCTGAGTAGGCGAGGGCACGGTCTAGAGACAGCTAGAATAGATCCCTTGAACCTTATGTTGGTTTGGGCCTGCGTGCCTTTGTTAGACTTTAGACTCCTTGTTGTTGACTTTGTTTTTGGGATAGTTGGATTATGTTGCAGATGTTTACGCCTGTGCGTTCACTGTTGAGTGAGCGTGGCATAGCACCTACGTTTTCCATATATTTCATGCTTAAGTCTTCCGCTGTGTATGCTTTTATGGTTAGAATTATCTGCATGTTTAATGTTTAATTTAGTATGGAAATCGGGGGTGTTACAATTAGTTCATGTTCTGGAGGCCCTTGAGAATGATAAAGGCGTTGTTGGTGTGTTTTTTTCTATTTTTTAAGTTGAGCTTTGTTCTGGTTGATGATTTCCCCTTCCTTCGTTTCAAAAAAAAAAATTTTTTTTGTCCTAGTCAAGTATACTGCATTTGAAATATTGTTGTTTGGTTCACTCCAATTGCACTTTTTTTTTTTTTTTTTTTTTTTTTTTTTTTTTTTTTGAAAATTCAATTGCACAAAAATAAAAGTTTAATGACCTATTGATATTTTTCCTATAAAATTTATTTAACCCTAAGTCAGTAAGGACATGTTTGGTTCATGGAAAATGTTTTTTAAAGGAAAATGTTTTTTAAAGGAAAATGTTTTCCTTGAATTTGAGGAAAACTAAGGGTGTGTTTGGTTGGTGGGTTTTGCCCATAGGAATGGGTATGAAAGTGATTGTTATTGTTTGATTGATAGGTTTTTAGAATACTACTATGGGTTTCGAATACCCCATCAATTGAAAAACCCATACCCAAATACAATAAGGGTTTCATTCCCTTATTCATTCTCAAGCACTACTATTAGTAACCATTCTCATTCCACCCTACTACCAAGCATGTTAAATATTTTCACCAAAACCCATTACCATTACCAAGTATTTGATACCCATACCGATTTCGATTCCTATGTGCGAACCAAACACACCCTAAATTTTTCTTTGTTTGGGGTTCATGGAAAACATTTTTCTCAAAAATGAGGAAAACATTTTCCATGGTCCCCCTTGGTATTTTGTTTTCCATAGAAAATGTTTTTCACGGAGAACAAGTAGGACAATTATGCTCTCACCAACTTTTCTTAATTAACATTATTATTATTGTTGTTTTATTATGTAAAGGTATAATTAGAGATGACCATGGTTCCGGTTCGAACCGGAACCCTGACTGTGCAAACCGGAACCGTCCGTACGGTTTCGGTTTGTAAAATCTTGGAACCGGAACCGGCAGTTCCAGTTCCAAATCGAAAAAAATTAAATATTATAGTGTTTTTTTTAAAATTTTTTTAAAATAATTCCGGTTAGAACCGGAATCGGAACCTTACCATAAGGTTCCGGTTCCGGTTTCGCCATCCACGGAACCGGAACCGGCGGTTTCAAATCGGAACCGGAACCGTAGTCACCCCTAGGTATAATTGTCTTTATACTTATTATTCCTTACAATTTCAAACTTAATTAAATAATAGAATCAATATTTCCATTACTTTATTTTCCACCAACCAAACATTATAATTAATCTTCTCAGTAATTTCTTTTCCATAAAATTTAAATTCCATTTCCTCTCAAATATTTTTCGCTAACCAAACAAGGCCTAAGTTGTGACTTGTGTCTGGTCAGTGGTCACTCTGCGTGTATCTCTTTCCAGTAAAATCAAAGCCTAAGCCCTAAAATTGTAATCCCTAAAATCAAACCCCTACGCTCACTGCTCAGCCCCTCGCGACGCAACCTGCGACTTCGGCTCCTCACCGGCGTTCAATACTCCTTCGTCTCCTCGGCTCCTCACCGGCGAAGTCCGAAGACTGCGAACTGCCCAGGTTAAAAAAAAAATAGTTCATAGATGATACGATTATTTATTGTTTTAACCATAATTTTATTTTTAATATTATTATTGTTATATCAATTTATAAAATGCCGATACATTTGTGCTAAGTTTGTCATATATAATCCTTCTTCATTTGTGTCTACACCTGTTCTGTTCCAGCATCTGTTCTTGTTCCTCAAATGAGGACTTCCGATAGGCAGTAGCTAGAACTTAGCACTTTCCAGTAGCAAGAACTCAAATAAAATAATTACTTTTAAGGGTTTAAAATTAAGCTAAAAACCTTCGGTTAATCCGTTAACCTGGAAAAATTCGGTTTGGTTAATTTGGTTCAGTTACCAGAATGCATAAACATCGTTTACACTGGGGCCTGGACGGAGGGAAGACAAATCTAAAAGTACAAATAGACCCTTTCTAATATTCCCTCTGCAATTTGTATTTATTTCTTTCTATCCTCGGCCTCAGGTATGCTACATTCGCACGCCACAGTTTTCTTAGTTTGCCAGACGGAATCCGTTTCCAGGTGAAAATTACGCCAGTTCGTAGGTTTTTGTTTTAACACTTATCTATTGCACTAGAAGTTGAAGGGACAATGAGTAGTAGCAATGAAGTTGAGTGTGGCTGGAAAATCGTTCACATTCCTGATAAGCCCCCTGTTCTGCCTCACCTACAACCCACCGGTATGATAGTTCAATCTTATTGCTCTCCCAGTTTTGATGGTTCTACTACATTTGTTTATTTATTTATTTATTTTTGAATGCATATTGCAGTGAATGTGTATGCTGCTGAAGTTGAACCTAAAGATGCTAATACTTTAGTAAGGTCAGTTCTCCCCTCACCATGTTATTCTTTATGATCAAATTTCAAGGTTTAAATTAGCTGAACTAGATCAAGTTCTGATCTTTATCTCTCAATAGTTAAGTTCTAAATTGAAGTAAGCAGATTATGCTTCTCTTTTTGTTCAATCTTTAGGAAGTTAAATCAAATTTGTCCATTGGAAAACCTGCGGCATGTAAAGCGGATACGCAAGAAGTGCATTGATGGAGGTAATAAGATACTTATTCCTGGGAAAGTTGTGATGTGGTGTGTAAATTATACTCTCTTTTTGTTGAATTTTACAATAACAATTGGCTTCTGGTAGGAAAACCTCAGTTATCTTTAATGTTATCTATGACAAATGAAGATGCTGGTGGCATGCCAAGCAATGTGCTGGAGCTTGTGAAATCATACCAGTTGAGTACTTTCATCACAAAAGTGGGTCTTCCTTTTATCTTTTAGATTTTTGTGATATTTAGTTCCTCTTAAATGGCATGCCCCAGGTTCTATAAAATGCTGGCTATAAAGCATGGGCAATATCTTATATAAGAAGAGTAACATGATGAGTTATATGGAGTATCAAGAGTTTAGTCTGTGTCGTCAGTTGAAACTACTCTGCTTTTCTCCCCAAAATCAAGGATTTTTATTTGACTTGATGGCAGACCTAAGTAGTAGTAAAAAATTTGTAACCGTCTTTACCAGGTTCTTCCACGTTATGTATCTTAGATATTGAACCACAAGTGCAACTTCTTTGCCACAAATGTAGGATTCTGTAAGTAACTGCCATTTACGATCCAAAGTCTGTTGTCATTTCCATGTCCTTGAGCAGGTCACATTAAAACCTTATTTACACTTCTGACTGACATTTGCCTTGGGAAAATTGAATAAGTTATCTGGATGGGGCTTTTGTTGATTGCTAATGCCAACAAACAGCTTATCCATCAATGCTACGCTAATGCTTACCTATTTAGATAGCTAGAAGTGACATTTTCAGACTCTGCCAACGAATCTTACTCTCACACGCCGATAAATTTATACAGGCATATTGCCTCATTGTACCCCTAAAAAAAACTTATACGGCATTGGGGTTGAGATACAGAACTTTGACTACTCTTCTTGAACTGCAGCTTTCTGCATTCTTCAAAGGGTTGTTATGAACTCATAATTTCTCTGGCATATAACCTCTATATGCACTGTGAGTTCAAAAGCAAGTTCAATAGCGTATATGATTGATATTCTAATGTTATGAACTCTTCACTTATCTGTTTATTTGTCAATAACGACTCTTGTGTTCAATAGCTAGTTCCATTTAGATATCTCAAGCATTACTAAAATGTTTTTTTTTGCTAACAATCCTATAGCTCTTGCTTCCTGTTTATGTGTAGTATTATCTTTCTCCAAAGTTTCCATAGCTATGTAATTTTATGAGTTTGAGCCAAATGGTTCAGGTCTGCAAATATGCTGCATCAACAAAAGAAGAATGGGAAGAACAGTGTAAACTTTGGCCAACTTCCTTCCATCCACCGACATAGTAAGTTATTGAATCTTAGACCTGGAAGGATTTTCCTTTTCATTTTTTAAAATTTATTTATGTTAACTACAGTGATTTGAATATTATTATCCATTCCAATTACAGCAATATCAGTGGCATAACTGGGTTTAGTGAAGAGGAATCACAGTTAGTTTTCAGCTTTATGAAATCAGCAATTAATTTGGCAAAATCCATTGATGGCCTGGTAATTAACTACTTCCTAAAGGCCTTTTCATCTTTAGGAAACATGAAAGCCATTCTTCTGTTATATTTTTCTTTTCCTACTTTGTCTGATTTTTGTTTGCTTTCCAAATGTTGCCCTCTGTAGTTACATTTTTCCATATCGACTATAGAATTTAAATTTTCTCTCAAATAAATGATAAGCAACAGAACCATTTTATGTGGGAAGCATGTAAATGCAGGGTGACTGAATTTTTCCTTTTAAATACAAAGTTCTGAGTTAGTTCTATCAAGAAATGAGTATAGATAATTTTCATATGTTCTCTTTGCTTTTAGTGTGAGGTCCTTGAGGATTGTTGTGGCATGTTTAGGTTTACCTATAGATTTGATTGAAAAGATGGTTTCTGCATACTCTGGATTTGCATTTTCATGATTGACATGTGCTGTTCACTTTCTATGTGAATTTTCTTCACAGGTGATCAATGCTGCTATCATTGTGGACCCTTCAACTAAACAAGTAATTGCAAGTGCCTGTGATGAAGTGATGTCTTTGAACAGTTCCAGAAATGAGGCCAGGGAGGGCATAAGCTGCTCTAGTCAACGAGAAGCCTCTAGTCACACCAGAGCAACTGATATGGCTGACCAACCAAAATTGCTTTCAGATGATTCCTCAAACAAACCTACAGCAGTTTATGATAATATTTCATGTTTACATCCTTGGAAGTGGGCGGAGCAACAATTTAGTGCTAGCTTCAGCTCTTGGCATCCTTTAAGGCATGCGGCTATAGTTGCTATTGACCATTCAGCTACCAGGGATCGACAGCTTTTTCCCTCTGCAGGATATAATGGATATCATTTTGCTCAAGAGGATTGTGTGCTTTCTCCTCTAGTTGGGTCTCCATCAAAAAGGCAAAAGGTCAATCCAACAGATGTAAGCTACCTGCTATCCTGCTTTTCTCTTTGCTCATGCACCATCTAAATCTAACAGAAGGAAAATGTACTCCAATCCAATTCTTTCCTGAAAATTTTTAGAAACTTCAAATTCTACATTTTTGGTGTAGATATTGAATTTAAGTTTTTGGATTCTTATTGTATACTTGTTATGATAGTTTGATTGAGCAAGACCTACAAACAAGTGTGGGGCTGATGCGGGCTGGGGACATAGATATTGATTTTAAGTTTTTGGATTCTTATTTTATACTCTTGTTATCCCAAAAGGAGACTATGGAGTTTTGGGATCTCAAGCAAACCCAGCTTGAAGTGTGGCAAAATGCTTCTTCCTATTCCTTCTTCTACCCGTGACTTAGACCATAACATTTGGTTCCATTGCCAGGGTCATGGGCAACACACTACGCTCTTAAAGAATTGGATGAAAGAGTACTGCATACATGGTCTCAGAGAATTAGGTGAAGATGACAACAAACTAGAGCAGTGGATAACTAAATTCCTTGAAGGCCAAGACAAAACACCAAAAGTCGATACACCAACTTCCTCAAAAACTCAGCAAGTAGAGGGAGATGTTATTTCACTCAAAATGTTTTTGGAAAGGACACATCATTAGTTTTTGGAAAATCAGCAACCCTCCATGTTGAATTATCACCCACATGAGGTTGATCGACCGAAACACTGGCTTGTATTTGTCCTGTCTCAAAATATGGGTGATCAGTAATTGTGGAGGATGAATCATCCATTTTGAGTGAAATAGCATCACCCTCTGCTTGCTGAATTTTTGAGGAAGTTGGTGTATTGATTTTTGGTGTTTTATCTTGGCCTTTGGAATTTAGTTGTCTACTGCCACGAAACCAAATGCTATGGTCTAAGTCTGGGCAGAAGAAGGAATAGGAAGAAGCATTTTGCCACACTTCAAGGCTGGGTTTGCTTGAGATCCCAAAACTCCCTTGGTCCCCTTTTGGGATTTAAATTTATGCTTCCCATTAATCCAATGAATTTTCCCTTTTTATAATGGGGAAAATACAAGACTCCAATAACTAATAATCACTTTAAGACTAGATAACTAATTAAGACAAAGACTTCTAATTGAATCAAATAACTGGAACACCTAAAAGACTAAGACAACCAACTATTAAGCAATTCTAATCTTAACTAACATCTATTAAATAATTGATAAGAGTATTGTTGCCTACTTGCCTTCCTGCTCATCCATCTGTCATAACACCGTCCCCCATCCCCCTTTAAAAAGATCAAAATGGATAGTGTGGAAGTACTGGAGTCTCTTTTTCATGAAAATCATTTATTTCAGGTGAAGGATATGGAAAATCAAACTGTAAACCCTTCTGAATCAAGCAGACCTTATTTATGTACGGGCTATGACATCTACCTTGTTTGGGAGCCATGTTCTATGTGAGTTCCTCTCATCTCTTTCCCCCGTCCTCTACTTTTGCTTAGAGGTGCCACCGTTTGCATCATAAGTTGAAAAGATGGGTAATAATTTTCAATTATAAATGGAAAATGAAGTCAAGACTTTTTGTCAATATTTTGTTAGAACTGCTTCCTTGTCTTGACTCTGCAATGCCTGTATATATTCTATGATGATATGATTTTTTAGCTAGAGTAATGTTTGCCTAAATCTGGAACTTAATTTCATCTGTACCTTCCCTTGGGTTGTTCCAACCTCTTTATGAGCACTGGGCATTTGTTTTTCCTTTTGGCTTATGTGTTGAGATGCATTGGACTCTCTTTGATGGCCTATTAAGTTCTTGGAAATTCCATGATTTCCGTCTATTTTTATCTTCTTTATAAGTTCCCATGTACTCTTCCCCGAGGTTATTTTCCGATTTGTCACATATCTGTATTTTCCATGTTTGAAAAACTTCATGGCCTCGATTGTTATAATGTAGGTGTGCAATGGCCCTTGTCCATCAAAGAGTTAGGCGTATCTTTTATGCTTTCCCAAATCTTAATGCTGGTGCGCTTGGAAGTGTTCACAGATTACAAGGGGAAAGAAGCTTGAATCACCACTATGCTGTTTTCAGGGTTTTGTTGCCCAAAGATATTTCGAGCGCCGAAGCATTAGATGCTGGAACTACTCTGAATGATGAAACCATAGTTCAAGTATCATGCTAAGTGACCCGCTTTTTACTGCATCTATAAGATTCTGCCCAGCCTTAGCAATTTGAGAGAGATTAGAAGAGACTATTAGATGTCAGATGATGAGTATAATATCAAGTTTTGGATTCATCAAACTTGGAAGACAGACAAGAATGCAGTGCAACCTTGTGAGATCATCCAATTTGTGTCTTAACTTGTAGCTTCAAATTTTTTCTTCTTTAGTTGTAACAGTTCATGTTTGTATACTCCATTATAATATATTTGAACTTGTATATGGTAACATCTTACATCTGTTGATGTGCACTTATTTACTATTCATTGGTCAAATTAATTTTTTTGTTTTTTTTGTTTTTTTTGTTTTTTTTTTTTTGTTTTTGTTTTTTTATTAGTTTTTAATTGTTTTTAATTTTTAATTTTTAATTTTTAATTTTTAATTTTTATTTTTATTTTTATTTTTATTATTATTATTATTTTTTTTTGTGTTTTATAGTAATTTACATGTATTTTCTAAACATATAAATTGTATTTTGTATATACTAATATTAAACTTAATGTTATGAAAAATTAAATTCAAAATAATTTCAATCAAAATTTGTTAACTGAATTAGGCATATAAAATGAGGAAAGATGTCTTGTAGCATTTGGTGGTCTAGGTTTGAAATCATAAAAGATATAAACACTTGCAACATTACAAGGAAAGCATTCATAGTCTCATACATTAGTTGCAACAAGAAAACCGATGCAACTACAGCCAGTGGGATCACAAGAAGCAATTAGACAACCTTGTTGTATCTAATCTATACATTATATGGAAAAGATCTAAAAACATAATAAGTGTGAATGAATGTTATACCTTTCATTTATGTCCGTTTTTTCCGTTAAGTTTTTTTTTTATACATTATTATGCAATAAAAATTGTACTATATAATATTTGGACAAACATATCTCTACCGATTTTTTTTTTTTTTTTTCATTATTGTTACTATACATATGCATCCACCATATATTTTCTTATATTTTTCAATAATAATAATAATAATAATAATAATAATAATAATAATAATATATACACATTAGTTATCTCTTAAAACATAAATATCAAATTTATAAAAATATTTTATATTATAATAATAATAATAATAATAATAATAATAATAATAATAATAATAATTATTATTATTATTATTATTAACAATAATTTAAATATCTAAAATCTAAATAATATAAAGTACCTACTTTTTGCACATTACCCATAAAAAATACTAGTTATAGTTATAAGCATATACAAAAGGTTTGGCTAATTGCAACAACAAACCATAAAGCTTTGATTGAACCAACATGGTTGGCGTGGTGGTTCAGCACCTCGTCCCTTAAGGAATCTAAATCTAATCATAAAATAGCAACCTCATCTTATGTCCGGTTCCATTAACATGATTTGATTAAAGTTATTTATCATTAAATTTTTTATAATATTAGGATTAGGACTAAGAGCAATCTCATCCGTGCCTTTTTTTTTTTTTTTTTTTTTTAATGATCTTTTAAGTGTCATATAAAAGACAAGGGGAAGAGATGTTAGGAACACTTGTTTTTAGATTTTGATGATACCAAATGATAGAAATTTTAGACCTCAATTATTTTATTTTCTAAACTTAGGATAATTCTGCTCAACATTCAAAACCAATCGAATGGTACATCGAGATGTAAAGATTCTATCTATCCAAATGTTAACTTGAGAGGACAGTCTCAACATTAGACTCGAAGAGTAACACGAGTGGTTCGAGCTGAAGATCAGAAGACTGAAGATTCGAAGCGTAGAAGATATCAAGACCGAAAGGTTGCAAAGGCCGAGAGGTGGAAGGGTCTACCTTACGAAGTATTGCAAGACCGAATGGTAAAGTCAATCATTCGTAATCGAAGGATCGCAAAGGTCAAAGAATAGGAAGGACCTACCTTTCGGGGAGTAAAAGGGACGAGTAGTAAGGTCAACCATTCGTATCCAAGATGATCTAAGGTTTGAGGCGTTAACCTAGTTAACCATTCGATAGGACTGCTCGAGACATTCTTTGAGCTGCACAATCCGAAACCTTAAAATGATGAGTGAATATGTCCAGGCAAAGTGAGTCCTAGGAACATATCCCAATGCAAATATTTCCTTTAATGCCCAGACAATTTGTGCATAACAAAAAGCAAAGTTCAGCGCAAAATAAGGCTTTAACGACTGAAAAATCTAACACGCTCACCTACCCTCCAGATTATCCGCCGGTCTCTACACGCTGGTCCATAGGTGTTTGAAATTTGTTCTACCCTCCAACGGAACTATTTCAACATTCCTATAAATACCCTCTTCAAGACTGAAGAAAAGTGTTGGTCATTTTCAAAATTCTTAAGTGCAAAAAGTTTTCAAGTGTTCAATCTAGTGACCAGTTGTTAAAGAGAAAGAGAGACTAAAGCTACAAAGATCATATCCAGAATATAGAGACTTGAGCTACTAAATACGTCAAGATCTAGATTCAGAAGCCAAGTTCTCTAGTTGAAGAAGAAGAAAACCCCCTTTCTTCAAATTTGTACCCTCTACTCGGTAGCAATAGAAAGAGGAGAAGTAAACTCGGTGAAGATTTGAAAAACCTGGTTGTGGAGTTCATGGTTGGCTTTGTGTTCAAAGCGTGAACGTCTTGGAGATAGTGGAAACCTCCTAAGGATTTAAGGAGAAGAGTGTAGTAGGCTCATTATAGCCGAACCACTATACAAATCTCTCTCTCACTCTCTTTAATTATTTACTGCTTTACATTGCATAATTTTCAACCAAACCTAAAATTTGATAAGACTAAATCAACGTGCAAAGAAAATATTTCAAAAGGGTTAACAAATATTTCAGCTCTGTATTCTAAACGAGAAGTTAAAGTTACCTCTCGGTTGCTTTAACCTTCCGAAAAGTTTTCAAAATCCTACAAGTCTATTCACCCCCATCTAGACTTATATCCTAACCCTCACCGAGACCAACAAGAGAGAAGACGAAAACATAGTAGAGTGTAGCTTTGTGCGTAACAATCGTGGTGTAGGAGTACAGTTTTGTGCGAAGTACTCGGGGAAGGTGGAGTAACAAGGGAAGCTTGAGAAAAACCTTGTAGGAGTGTAGCTTGTGCGTAGCACTCGGGAAGTGTCGGCAGGCACCAATTCACTATTGTATCTGGGTGATCGAAGATAGTGAATTTCCAACTTGGAGTGAAAGGAGAAGAGTGGAGTAGGAGGATTACATACACCACCTCCGAATCACTATAAATTTCTCTCTCTTTACTTTACAGCTTTACATACTGCTTATTTATTTGTGCATGCTTATCATTGCGAACTAACCCAATTATTTTTCATCGCTTATCTTTAACCATCAGGGTTTGTTAGTTCCCATGTTTGCATGAGAACCAAACTTTGCGTACATCATTCTTAATTTATATCAGGTCATTCTAACGTGCTGCATGTTTAGAATTCTAAAGGTATAAAAGTATACTTGCACAATATTATTATAATTACCTAATAATTATTACAGGTAATTAAGGAATTAATTGCATAGATACTAATATAATTGACTAATAACTATTATGTTAATTAAGCTAAGAATTACACGAATATTAGTATAATTACACTAAAACAAGGGTCTTTGGATTTGTTTTGTTTTGTTTTTTTTTTGTTTTTTTTTTTTTTTTTTTTTTTTTTTTTTTTTTTTTTTTTTTTAATAATTACATATAATAAATTCAAATGTGGAGGAGGAGGAAAAAAATAAATGTGAGATATGGTGAAAACGAATATACTTAAGGTATAAAAGTATAAATGCACATATATTAGTATAATTGCCTTGTAATTATTATGGTAATTAAGCTAAACATGGGTCGTTGGATTTATATTTATAATAATTACAATTAAATTTTTTTTATCCTTTTTTCCCCATATTTATTTTAGTAAGAATATAATTACATAAATCATATTACACATCAATTTTTTTAGATAATTGCATACAAACGAGACATATATTATTCAATTAATTGAGTGATACTTTTGCACCAATCT